AGAGACAATGTTGTGTTAACAGTGTATAAACATAGAAGTCATTGTCCTCTTCTCCAGAGAGAGAAAAAATAGCCAAGGACATAACAACAGTGTTTCCTCTGACTGGCAGCATAGGAGGTTAGCACATGAGTGTTAGAGGTTGCATTTGTAATTTCCTATCTTTGGAGAGGGCAGAAGAAGAGAGGAGATTGTCAGATGCTGAATAAAAGCAGCATGAAGAGAATGACAAAGGCATAATAAAGAGGGAGGGAAACTTTACAACTGTGGAGCATGACTTAAAAGTTTAAAGCCCATATTCTTGCTTCATTAACTAACACAGGGTAAAGTCTGAGGAACAGCAAAGTGATTGATCTTGCATGTGAGTAGATTGAGATAAACTCTACATTTCTCCCTGGGGATTTACTTTGGCCACCTGTGAACTGTGGAGAGCTACAGATATCTTGTCTGGAGCAGATTTTCTCAAATTCTGGCTGAGATGTTGCAAATATTTTCAAAGTATGCCCCTGGGGTGTAAGAACAAGAACAGTAGGAGTGGTTGCTCAGTTGCTGGAGGGATGTTCCATGGTCTGGGCTGGAGAGGCACTGTGTGTTTGACCCGGCTTTTTCTGTGCAGCACTGGAAATGACACTCTGTGAGGCTGAGAGCACTTTAGCACTTCAATAAAAATGTGCTAATTTCATCCCATAGTGCTTCAGCTGTAAGAAGCTGTCTTCATGTTTCAGAAAGGCCGTTCTTTCCCCCTCACTTTTGTAAGTCTAAAGGGGGACAAATATTTCTACTTTGTTACTGTTAGAAGTCTTTGTTAGTAACTTTGGCGTCCAATTCATTACTGCAGTCATGTTTTCACAGCCTGGTGTGAGAGATAAACCCTTTGCAAATGAAGACAGCATCCATTTTCTTTCTACCTCAGGCCACACAGAATTGATTGGGGTAATAAAATGACAGTACGATGTAATATACTGACGGCTCTTTAATTTGAAAACTAGTTCCAGGCTGATTCAAAACTTGCTTAAAGCTAATTTATGGCTTGTGTAATTCTCAACTGGACCAAGGTAAAGGATGATGTATAAAAAACGATGCAGTGTTAACATAATATATTCAAACCTGTCAGCTTGGAATCATCTATAAAGGATTTGTTTCAATCCTTTTTTAGTTTCATTCTAAAGAAGCAATGGCAGAAAAAGTAGTGGCTGTTAGGCTGGTGTGAACACCGATGTAAGATGCTATTTTTCCATCAACATGTTTCAAATGGAAATTCTTGTGCTTTTTAAAGTATTTTATGCATAGTTAAAAAATATAAAAATATACATCGGTTCTTCATTTTCTTTATTAAATAAGAAGCACTGTCAGGTTTCTATTTTGTTAAGTCAGTATCTGTGCTGACAGTAACATGGACTGGTAAATACAGCATTTTGCTACGGTGATGTTCACTGTCTGCTTTGCCTGTATATGTATATACAGCCTACACATGTCTTTATATACATGTATGCTATTTATATATACCATGCGTACCTGTATATGTGTCTCAATCTTGAATTAAAGGTCAGGTTTTTGAAAAGCAAAATGTGAGAATAGTGAAATTCTTGAATTAAAAAATTAAAAGCATAAATATCTCCCTTTGAAATCTATCATTTTCATGTAGTTTGCAAATGAAATCCACATCTGTTCTGTATGCACTATTGATTTTTCAGCATACTGTGTCAGTGTTTCTTCTGCACAGAAAAGGACAGAACTAAAAGTACAGTGTGTGCTCCTGTATAGTAGAGGCAAAGAGCAAATACACCAATTGCAGTGAAGGGAAGAAGAGAACTGAATACTGCAAAAACTAGTAAGCAGATTCCATCCCAGGACTAGAATATCTCATTTGTTATGTATTTGTGTCAACATATAATTAAAATATAACTTTCTGCAGAAAAGAGGTTGATAAAACCAATGTAGCTGTGGTATCTTAAACTGCATGAACATTTAGGTCACAGGAAAGGAGCCATAGTTAAAAGCAGAGTTATTACTTGCATAAGCATAGTAGGATGTCTACACGTTTCATGTTTACTCTTCAAGGTTTTGTAAGCCCAAGAAGGTTCATGTTCTGAGGAGCTTTGATCAAAATCTGCATTTTTCAGGAAAAAAAATTAATTACCGAGCTTTTGGAATTTATTTGTTTTATAATGGGCTTATATTTTCACAAAGTATTTCTAAATTTTGAGGAAGCTGGTAGTACCATTTAGTGGCTTTCCCCTATAATTTATTAATTAATATAACTAAATACTGTGATCCGTTATAATGCTATGTGTTGATCTGTCTGACTTGAAAGTGCAGATTTGTCATTTTTCCTGTGTAGTTTAAAAAATGTAATAGTAAGTTAATGAAGTGGGAAGGGGTTAAGCACCAGAAAAGACGTGTACTAAAATAGTTACTGTGTTAATTATATGTCCATAAACCACTATGTCCTGCTACATCGCTGCTACAGCTGAAGCTGACAGATTAATGATAATGCCACTGTCATTGTTTTCGTCATGCAGGACCTTGAAAAAATAATAAAGTGACTTAATGAAATCACTTTATTAAATAAAATTTAATTATTTTTGAAGTACATTTTTCCTTTTAGCACCCCTTTTGTAAAAATACTGATTCAGGTCAGTGGCACAGATTCTTTGCCTTTCCTTTCCAAGTGTAAATGATGCTAATACTTTTTCAGGTTGTTTTACTTGCTAGAGTACAAGTGAAAATATGAGGATTTCTAATCAGAACAGTTGCTCACTTGGCCACATACTCATAACTCACCTGGAAGCAGCTCCATAAAAGTTCTCATTTGCACCTTGCAGCATTTTTATTGTGGTACTGTCCATGGAAGAGTCTCATTCCACTTATCAAATATGTTTCTGAAAGGTGTATTTGTTGCCAGACTAGCTCAGAACAATATAGATTGCCTGTGTTACATATTTAGATCACAGAATGGTCTGGATTGGGAGGGACCCACAAGGATCATCACATGCAGCTCTGTAAGTGAATGGCCCATACTGGGATCAAACCCAGGACCTTGGTGTTACTAGCACATGCTCTGACCAATCAACAATGTGAAAAGAGATAATAAAACCAGTGCAATTTGAAAGGGAGGCATATTTGCTTGGATTTGTTTCTGAATAATAAAGTAAATTAGGTTTCCATCACTCCCTCTAAAAATAGAAGCATTGAATTAGCCAGCTGGTTCTTAGGAGAAAGATGGCCAAGCTGCTGGAGAAGAAGATGCTCGAGATTTGATATAAAAAGGAATCCATGGACCTGTTGAGACAAAGGAATGTAACAGGAATGTAAGCTTACCAAATTGCAGTTGCTCAGATAATTTTTGAAAAACACTGTTTATTACTTTAAAAAAGGAAGTAACTGAAAATGGCTGCCACCATTATCTGGCCACAGGTAATAACAGCATAACAAAAGCTTGTTCAGGCACAAAATACAAGCAGAATTCATGGAGAGAAATCTCTGAACCAATGAATTCAGACAAGTATGTAATTTTCTTCCAGCAGATGTGTTTGTTACTTTTGTTTTTGTAAGAAGTGCAGAAAAGCTTTTGGAAACATACTGAGCTGATAAATTGCATGGCATTGATTTAACTTTCTCAAGGAGAAAACAGTACTTTCCTATACTCAGAGTTAGGTAATAATTAATTGGATCAACAAGAAGAAATTCTCATCGTCAGTTCACTGTGAACAAAGTGGGGTGGCCTTTGAGAGAGAGGATGTTTGCCTGTACAAGTCCAGGGAAATCAGTGAGCTGTCAAGGATGAACATGATGCAAAGTTCCTTTTGATGTCATATGATTTCCCTATGCTATATATTGAAAATCAGAATTTTAGTCACAGAGACGTGATGTAATGAGAAAGGTGTAAAGAAGCTTTATTGGAAATATTTAAGCTCAGAAGGTATTTTTCCCACTTTATGCTCTTTGGGAACTCCCTCCATGTGTCAATTCTTTTACGGTACCTGGTCTTACCAGATGTGATTCTCTGTGTGATTCAGTAATGGTTGCTGGACCAGTGCTCACTTTTTCCCTTTCCATGCAATGGACTAAACTGCAATTGCTGAATATTATCATTATGAAATTTTAATTTACTTTTTACAGGTTGTTATGTTTGAAAACTTAATAATGAGCTCTGCAGCTTGCAGTTTCCAAAAGTATAATCTTGATTTCCTTGCAATTAGTGAATGTAGGAAGAAAGTGATACATCAAAAACACATACTCCTCTTGCTAAGCGATGACATCTAAAATACCTTCTGTAATGAGCATTACGACAAGCACAGTAGAGATTGTAGTAACTAATGGATTTTTTCTCTGCATAAAAATGTCTCAATCTATGCTGTTATCGAAACCTCTGTGTGAAGCAGTGAGGGTATTAAAGTGGTTTTTATTTTGGATGATTTAGTCACGTTGCGTAGCAAAATTAAGGCAATTTGGAAAACAGAATGTAAATTACTTAAGAATTTTTATTTATTTTACTTTAATGTTAAATTTACTAAAAGATAGCAAACTTTCTTTAACTTTACCAGGTTGTGTGCTGTATTGGTTTGCACTGACTGATAAAACACATTTGTTGGGGGTTGTTCTAGCATGGCTCTAGCTGTTTTGCAGAAGCATCCATCTGCCATAAGTGGACAAAATGTAATATTCCCTTCCTTGCAGCTCAGGAGCAGGGGTAGGTATGGGCAAAAAAAACATGCTTATTCAAAATTAACTTTGCAATTCTGAAATACTGTAACTACTTAATAAGTCTCAAAATGCCCTAATGAAGAAAATATTATTAATTCAAGAGAAAAGATATGACAGATGTTTTTTACTTGGGCAAATGAAGTTGCCCAGGGTAAAAAAGAGTAGAGTTTCAGACCTCAAGTATTTTTTTATTTCTCTTTCTGTGCTTAAAGCACAGTTCCTCTGAAAAGTCTCATTTTCTTGGCGTGCCACATCAACACGCTGCTGAGGGGTCTGTTTGTGTCTGTTGCCCTCAGGACTCCGAGCCGTCAAATGAGGTGGTCTCAGAGGCCCCAGGTAACGTGGTACCCTCTACCTCAAGAAGTAGCTCTGAAGAGCTGATATCGGTGGCACAGAAACGTCCAGAAGAGGTAGGACATTCTGTGTCTATTGTTTTCCAAGATTAACTGTTGGGGAATACACATTTGCCTCTGTTTTCTGTGCCCAGTGTTGTACTACTAATAACAGAGACTTTTTAAAGCTAGAACTCAGTCTTACACTCCCATATAAACAGCATGGGAGACCAAGGTATCCAAAGTCAGGACTATAATTAATGGTGCCTACAAGTATATTCCATAATATATTCTACTTTTTAAATACTGTTTCTTATTGTCAGTAATTAGGAATTGAGTTTTTTTATTGTTTCTGTCTTTCACCCCATGACAGTAACAGGAGCCCTGTTAGATTCTGGTTAAATAAATATTACTACACTAAGGAGTCAGAAATAGAATCTGTACATAGGTATATAGGTAGATAGAAACTTTATCATCCTTCACAAAATTTAATTATGTCTAACTTCTGGCTTGTGCTAAGGAAAGACTCTTCCTGATGTTGGGCCTTTCTTTGTTCTCTTGGTTTTGAACAAGTGTTGTAGTCATAAGTTCATACTTCATGTTGTTGTAAGCAGAGGTGCTTGTAAGATTGTTCCATAGGGTAGCCAATGACTTAAGGTGTTTTCTGTCCCTGCTGTGCATCCCTGCCATAGTACAATATAGCTGGAGGAGAGGTTGTCTGCAGAATTCAGACTTATAACTTCATTTCATGGTGGCAATCATCTTCCCAAAGAATCATTATTAACCTTAAATTAACCTTTCCTGTGAGACATAAGTCCTTCCTTTGTAGTAGTCTTAACACTTAATCTTGGCTTACTCAAACAGGTTAGTTGGTATTATTACTATTCAAAATATGTCAAGTACCAGGTAATATAAAGACTAGTCTTTGCTTTTTTTCCAAGATTTCTTTTGACTGTAATTTTCATAGCAAAGGAGTGTATGAAGTGCTAGTCATAGGAAATACAATGTCATTTATTAGTTTAGTACAGGCTTTAGATAAATATCTTCATTTCTCTGATAGTCTTATCATTTTGTCTGAAGAAGGAAGGTCCAGAGTATGAAGCCAGGAGAATTCTTAAGAGTGTCTCCTGGAGTAAGACTAAGTAGATTCACTTATTTTGGAATATCACTACATATTCCAAGATAGAAAGTCAGGTTATCACATCTAAGCAGTCCTGAGGATAGAGTAAGTACAACCTTTTAGTAATACTTTTTATGTATTCTTGAGTAGCAAATGGACCTCTAGTATGTGGAGAGACATGGGGTATTATGCCTCTTAAGTCTCAGCTTTGTCAGTTTACCTCACTGCACTGGAAAAATTAAAATTGGGAGCACAGATGATGTTTAAAAATCAAAGGAGAGAAAAAGTGCTGCAGAAAGAGGAATAAAACATGGTTAGTAAAAGGTGACTAAGGGGAAGATGGGTATACAGTTTTTGCTTTTGTGGAACAAAAGCAGCTCAGCTGTGGGGAAGAGGAAACTTCAGAGAATCAAAAGATGGAAATACACCTTTCAAGTTTTACAAATAGTTCAGTAATAGTTCATGTTGAAGCTGTTTTACTGAGTGTGGGGTCATGTGTTTTATAAGGGAATGAGACTTTCTGCAATCATATTTACTGCAGTTTGTACAAAAGAGGGAGAGGTGAGTCAGAAAGAGTTTTGTGGTTGGATTTGCAGGGAACCTTGAGAGGGGAGCACCAGTATGCTGAATTTCCAAATTCAGAACCCACCATGAAACAACCCATCTAAGTTACTCATGGGTAAGTCAGCATGATAAAAAAAAAAAACATTTGTGAATTACACCCCAAAAAACAGGTCCAAAAAGTGTTTGCAGAGGTTGACTTCAACTAATGCCTTTTTTATTTTTAATTTTGTTTGAAGTCTTCTGGTACATTTTTCAATATCTGCTTAATGAGTTAATATTTGGAATTGACTACTGACTGGTGCATTATTTGTGTAATTTATGTGAATTCAAATCATCAGCATTGGTGAGAGTTGTTAAAGAAATGCTCAAATGCAGCTTTAATAAAAGAGAAATTTGAGGAAAGACTAAAGAAGGCAAGAAGGCTAGCAGCAAAGGGTTTCAGGAAGGTGGAGAGAATCTGTGAAGGTTGTGGAATGTGGTGTTGAAAAAGTCTTGAGCTTGCAAATGTGAGGACACAACTTCTAACAGGAGAAGTATGAAAAATCCCATGAGCTGCCACATTAATTTGAATAAAGCACTTTCTTTTCCTGCTAAAAATTTGTTTTCCTCTTAGATAGGACAGTCTGAATCTAACACTCAGTTGTGTCATCAGTGGGAGGATATTTGTGGGGTGTAATTTGATCACTCAAATGAGGTTTTGTTTTGCTTTTGTTTAGTCATTCCTCCTAATAGAAATGATGGTGGAATATTGTGTTCTCCTCAACAGGAAGGCAGAATGGCATCCACTCCTCTTATTGCTGCCCTTCTTCCCAGTCACTTTTGATGCTTTAAAGTTAGATTAAGCTCTGTGTTGGATAAGGATCGTGTCCAGCTACAGGGCAGAGGACAAAAGCCACTGCAGAAATAATTAGCTTGTAGAGTGTTTAGATCTAGAGAACAGTGAATTTTCTGTTAATTTCACAGGTGTCCTGAATCACCTGTTAGTCATTCAGGAAAATGTGTGTATTCATCAGTGTATTTCACATGCAGAAACCTTTTGTGTTATAAACTAACTGAACTGACTTTAAAGTTAGAAAGATACTTTATTGTCTCTTTCCAAAATCTGTGCAAGCCTCAACAAAATTTAAGTTGTATAGATTTGAATGCTTGAATAATTTTAATTAGTGTCCATGCAAAAATAAGGATGTGATTCATAATATTGTATATATTTCTTGGTGTTTTTTAAGAATTGGAATTGAAAAATGGCATTGAAGAAGAATTTAGTGCATTTGGAAGGGTATAGATGTATATAATCCTAATTTCAGTGTAATTTTGTTAGGCCTTCCAAGCAGTTTATATCATTTCAGCAGTTTTCCTCCAATAATAATGCTTAAGATAGGATTTTTGTTCCCACAAGACTTGAAAAATTCAGAACTACATCACTGTTATGTGTTAGTATGCCCTTTTTTCTCTGATACTACACATTCTCTACCATGAATGGATGAAAGGAAATTCTCTGGATGTTGTGGTTATTTAAGGTGCAGTTTTAAGTGTACAAATACACTTGCTTGAGTAACACTGCAACTGTTCAGTAAAGTTGAAAGGCTGGTGAATCAGCTTTCATGACCCTTTTTTCTGTGGTCAGCTTCACATCTGGCAGTTGCAGCATATTTGGCACATACATTTAAGTAGGTTTTTGATGGCTATACAGAGATGTTGAAGAAAATGAAGATTTGTTGCTGAGGTAGTTTTACTTTGCTTTTTTTATGTGTCTAAAGAGCAAGATGGGTGGGCTTTTTCTTGATACTATTTCTCATAAGCAGTACTTCAATCCATGGAGAATGATGGTGTCAGTGGTTTGTTATCTAAGTAAGAAAATACTAGTTTTGACAGTTCCCTTAAATGTGAGTCTCATAAGAGGCATATTCTCTTGTTTAATTAGAAGTAAAATAGAAGTACATGAGTTATGTGTATTAATTTCCTTTGCCAATCCTGTGGCAAATTAATTAATCATGTTTTAATAGTGTAAGCCTAGAGGCTAACAGAGCTGATCTTTCTGAGTGTCTGCATTGCCAGAACAATACAGATAAAGAGGAAAAGCTGTCCTATCCTTTCTCTTGGATAGAAAAATAAATTCAACAACCAACAGACCCCTACTTTCTCCTACAAAAAAAAGCATATATAAAGCATGGAGCACTTTAGGGTAAAATATAAATAATGTGTTCATAGCATATGAACATGAATAGCTTATGTGTCTGTGGTTCTTTTTGGGTGCCATATTCAAACTATAAAAGCTGTGCAAATCATTGTGGTTCTTAGCTAAAGAAGGATTAAGATAGTTACCTGCTAACCTGTTTCTGGACTATTAGACATTCAGTGCTTGCAGTTTATCTGATAAAGCACAGACATCATTCCATAAGTAATGTACAGTAAGGTATAGTACTTTTTTGATAGAAAAAGATGTGTCACACACTTAAGTCATCTGCCATTTGTTGTAAATATGTTACAGGCGTCCTAAAAGGATCATAGAATTCGGTCTTAACTGCATTATTTCCTATGTGAGCGAAGGAAATGTTGCTTAATTTCTGTTAATTACAATTAACAGCTGATACTGTCTTTTGTTTTTTGATTTATCCTCATTCCTTGATCTTGGGATAAAACCTTTCCCAAAAGTCCCTTTGACATTTCAAGTTAGTACAAAAGGAATTTTTTTTCAAACCCAAAGCTATAAATTTCATCAGCAGTGTGTCCAGTCCATCCTTATGGTATTTTATTACGCTGAGATTTTTACTTTTTACACAAAGTATGATGTAACACGTTCTGAAATGATTGAATTGAAAGTAATTTCCTGGGAAAGTGTGTAATAATGCTTCTGTACTATTTTTCTCCATCTGCTATTATTAGACTATTAAATAACTGAATTTCCATCGCTGACATAATTCATTTCAGAAAACAATCATCATGAAGAATAAGCACCATCAAGAGGTAGAGAAATTATTTTATTTACACTTTTAGAGAACACAAGAATATATTAAATAAAATATATTTGTGTATCTATCTGTATGTATAAATGCACAGCTCTGACACTCACACATGTGAAAAGCATGTTTTATTTTCTAATAAAACATTATTATCTAAATTTTTTTCTAAATTTCATAGGCCTAACAATATATTCCCTCTATTCTGTGTAGTTTGTAGCTTGAATGCATTTAATAGAAAATTTGTGTCAGACAGTTGTTGTTATAAAAAAAAAGAAAAAGTAATGACTGATATGAGTTGGACTCATACTTAGTCTGGAACACTAATTTTTTTTGTTTAACTTCTGAGGAATTTACCCACTAACAAAAATAATTGTAAATGTCCATGCTGTATGGACCTAACAGTCTTGTTTTCTGATGAAAAATGGTAAGTGATA